CATATTGAGATCGCCATGCAATGATAATATATTTTCAAGTTGTTTGGAAATGTGCAAGTAATTTGGTCGCTATCATTCACTGTACAGAGAAGTAACTGGAGCAAACAAAACTGACAGGACTTCAATAATACAACGCGTGCACATTTTCAAACTCTCCCCACACTTTACCACAAGGATTTGAAGTTCTATGCCTATTGAAATCAATGTGGTTTTAGATATGACAATAGTTGAGTTGGAGTCCTGGGGTCTTAGAAAAAACAGAGGAATGCTGTGAGTAGTGTGATGATTTGAATGTGTCACTCAAGTTTCATTTGTTGGAAATTTAATACCTACAGTCCTATTTAACGATATCTGAGACATGGAGCCTTTGGGAGTACTTTCTGGGCTTTCGGTGGGTCATCCTGGGAATTGCTTTGTCATAAAATAAGCTCTCTCTGACACACTGTTTCTGTCTCACCAAGTGAGGCCTCTGTGCTGTCTTGAGACTCTGCCCAGAGTGCTCACCACCAGCAAAAGGTGCAATACAAGATATTGCCTTTCAACGTTGGTCTGCACGTAGCAGCTTTGCTGCAAACATACTGCTTGTCATCTGTTACATCTTTAAACAAATCACTGAGAATTAAGATTGTTTCCTCTCCAAATAACCCAGAGATTTAGTTATAGAAGCAACAACAATAACAACAAAACAAATGAGAAAGGCGGTGCAACGGTGGCAGGTGCTGGCCTGTAAGTGAAATGCCGCCAGGTGGAAGAAACAAAAGAGAGCTGTGATGAATCCTTGAGAACTTTGTGTGTGCTGCAATCCCCGCATTCCCCAACCACCACCTTGACAGGACCCTTGACCAGCAGTTACGTGCTCCACTTCTTTGTGGTCAAACAACTATTCTATTTCTGAATCCATCAATTGTGAATCTATCAAAACCATCAAGAGAAAACAAACAGGGGTATATAAGAACTCAACAACACTATCAAACATGACCAAATCACCTAACAAAGGAAAGAAAACATTCTTTTCAAATGCTCATGATATTCATCAAGGGAGACCATATCCTAGGCCATAAGTTAACATCAACAACGTAAAAAAAAATACTGTTCGTACACAGTATGTTTTCTGACCATAACACAAACTTGGAATAAATAACATAACTTAAAAATTTCTAAACTGTTTGAAAATAAAAACGTAACTTCTGGATAACCCACAGGTTGAAGAAACAAACCTCAAGGAAAATTTATAAAGTATACTAAACCTAGTTAAAATGGAAAATTCAGCACACTAAAAATTGTAGAAATGCCTTAAAAGTGTTCAGCAGGTTCCTGTGGAACACCAAATGCTTGCATAAGAAAATAACAACCTTATATCAAGAATCCAGGGTTTACTTCAATAACAAAATAACCCAGAGCAGGCAGAGGAGGTGAAGCAACAAAGATACAAGCAAAACTTAATGAAACTGAAAAGCGAAAAAAAAAATTACACAAAAAGCTGGTTGCCTGAAAAGCTCAGAATAACATAGCCCTAGCAAGAACTATCAAAAAGACGATGAAAGTTAGAAATGTAAAAACTGAAACACAGATGTTAGTATTAGCTTTGCAGGTGTTAATATTATAGAATATTACATCAGGATCAACTCTACAGAATAAATCTGACAATTTAAAATACATATAATAATTCCTTTAAAAGCAGAAACTATCATTAATCAACTTATTTGAAACTGACCATTTGAATAGTCTTACTTCTATTACAGAAAGGAATTTTTAATAGAAAAAAAAAACTTCCAAAAAACAAATGTGACCCAGATGTTCTTCTTCCAACCCAGTTCTCTGGTAGCATGCTGGAAAGGCAGTGCAGATGGCCCAAATGACCCAGGTCCCCCACCCTCATGTCAGATCAGACCGGAGTTACTGTCTCCTGACTTCACACTGGCCCAGTCTGCCTACTGTGACCTTCTGCACGGTGAACGGCAGATGAGAAACACCTCTACCTCCTCTCTCTCTGTCTTCCTTCTGCCTTCCCGATGCCTAAGTCATTGCAGAATCTAAAACATAGCTAATCCCACAGAAGCTCAGAGTAGAACAGTAGTTCCTAGAGACTGGGGTAAGTTTGGAGAAGGGAGGGCTACAGAGAGGAGGATGAGTGGGGCTGTTCCAGGTGAGCAGGTGAGCAGTGTGGCCTAGTAGGATGGCTGTAGATAACAATAAAGCACTATTTACCTCAACAAAGATGGGAGAGGATTTTCAATGTTTTCACCAACAAACAGAAGATGAGAAATTCACAACTCATTTTAAGAAATTAGTATTATCTGATTCCACAACCAAAGACAATTCAAAAATCAAGAAAGCTACAAATCAATTTCACTTGTTATTAACAATGAAACGTCTTCAATACAATATTAATAGAATTATTGAGATAGATAGATAGATAGATAGTTGTTTTTAAAAATAGTATTAAGCAACATGGCCTATGGAATGTATTGCAGGGTCTCAATGCCAGTTCAATATTTGAAAATTAGAGAATGTAATTTACTATATGTGCTACAGAAAACATCACATTATTGCAGGGTGTGAACGAGATCACACCAGACATGTCTAAGGCTTATTAAGGAGTCTTTATTAACCAAGCTTGGTGATAATAGAGCACAATAGCAAAACACAAGTCCATACGGCAATCCAACCAATCATAATCCAACCAAACATAATCCCAAAAGGAACAAATGGTCATTATCCTTAAGTCCATCCATTAAGCTGAAGACCTATGTCCCAGCTTCCCCAACAATATAAGTTATCCTCAGAGACATGCAACCGATAACCACGATACACTTACAAAGAACCTGGACACATTTACAAAGCTGCAGACATTCGCCTTTCCCTGGCTTCTCTGCCCACTTTCCACCACTGCTAGGCCTCACCCCTCCTGGAACTCCTGACAGCACACAAACTAGAAACAACATTATTATAACCATTGCTCCATCTAAGCATGGTCCCTGTGTACTGTGCCTATCCTGGGTCAGCCAAGAGTCGAAGTGCTAGAGTAATGGAAGCACCTGGCCAGAAAGAGAGAAAGCTCCTGCTTCCTGGGCCTTTTAAAGGGGTTTGTGAGGGGAGTGGTTACAAGACAATGCAATACCGTCCCCTCTCAGGTGATAGGTGAGTCACAGGTGGGCAAGAGCAAATACCTAAGTGTTGTGAGTTAAGCAGTTAATTGGTGATCATTGGGATGGGCAGGAACAGGAACTGGGCTTATAGCTGAAAATGCTTAGACTAATTGGACTTGTCTGCATCCAATATTCTGACTAAATTAGGACATGGGGGAAGTGGTTGAGGATTGAATTATCATTCCATCGCTGCTAGGAACCACCCTCAGGACAGAGGATAGGGGACCCAACCAAGTTTCATTTGCCCACTATCACTGGCTGCACCCCATAACAACATGATCATATGGATTGATAAAGTAAAAACACTTGGCAAAATTCAATATTGGCTCATAATTTAAAAATACATATATTTCCCAGAAACTAGGAATACAGAGAATTTATTCAACTGTAAAAAGAGCTACACAAAATGCCTCAGCTAGCATCACATTTACTGGTGAAAGACCGAATGTTTGCCTCTCAATCTGGAATAAGGTGAGACTGTCCTCTCACACCACAACTGTTCAACATAGTACAATATATTCCTGTCCAGTGCAGTATACAAGAAAAAAACATAAAAGTCATCACAAATAGGAAAGCAAGAGAAATAAAATCTGTTTATTTGTAGATAACATAATGCATACATAGAAATTCCAACTAATTTACCAGCAGGGAGAAAAATATTCCAGGCCTTTATATATGTAAATCTAATAAAATATATTGAGGACTTATATGTTAAAACTCTAAACCACTGATGTAAGAAATTAAACAAAATATATATATAAATGGAAGACATACATATTACAGCACACAAAAAAAAAAGTCCCACAGGGTTAAGATTTACGAACTGAAATATAGATTTTACAAAATCCACAGCAAAATTCCACCAGGGATTTTGTAGAAACAGACATGATTATCTGAGATATCTGTGGCAAAGCTAATGAACTATTAAAAAATAATGCTGAAAGGGATTGATAAAGAGGTATATTTTACCATCAGTCTTAATTATTACTAGGTAGTTAATATAATCAAAACTAGTGGTATTGACAAAGCGATAGAACAAAATACGAATGCTAGAAATATTATGCACTGACCAACCCAGCTGATTTCTGGCAACTGCATTAGAATCTTGACTGAGAGATAGCTTTTTTATTTTCAACGTTTGTGATGGAATAACTGGATAGGAAGTAGAGGGAAAATTAAATCTAAACTTCACATCTTGAATTTAAACAGAAATTAGCCTAAGGGATGATCAATTAAAATACAAAACATAAAATAGTAGATCTTTTAGAAGGAATAGAGAAGAAAATATTTAGGAACTAGAGTCTCGAAGTGTTTCAGACACTATTTTGAAAGCATCCTGCATGAAAGAAAAATTATTAAAAATGGGTATCATCTAATCTATTGATAATATAATGAAATATTTTCTATGAGAAAGATCCTATTGAGAAGATAAAGAAGCCAGAGATCTAATAATTGGCTCAAATATCTAGAATACAGTCAGAAATCTTATTACTCAACAACAGAAAAAAACAAACAATCCACTTTTTAAAGGAGCAAATCACATGAAGAGACGTTTTTCTAATTCATTCATGAGCTAAGCACACATCCATCACACCACTTAGGAATCATGTTCTTGGACATTTAAGCAGAAAATAAGTTCTTGTGTCCACATAAAAACCACAGGCATGAAAATAGCTGCCTGGTTTGGCGTCTCGCACTTCAGTTATAAATCGTGCGTTATGTCTGGAAGACCTCTCTGCATCAGCAATGGCAATACCGTTCATTTATACTAATTTTTTTTTTAAAAAAAGGATCTTTAAAATGCATTACCATAGTGGGTTTCCTATGGAAATAATAAACAATAGCACTCACTTCCAATATCCGGCCTCAACTTTTTATCATATTCTCTTAACAACTTGTTGAGAATAAGAGTCACGTCCGTGTCTTGGGATTTGGGAGCCAAGACCCACTTTTGGTTTGCTGATGAATCTTCGTACTCATCCTCTTCCACCTTTCTGGACCTGTAGTTGGAACGAAATGCAATGTGTAAGTTGTAGCTTTAGCCCCCAGAGGGTCCTTCCACACAACTACTGCTGAAATGTAACCTTATGTATTACCTGTTGATAAAAAGCTAAGGTGAAATGCAAATTAGGAACAATCCAGTTGGAAGGATGCTACTGCTATTAACATGGTATGGTGTTCCCATTAAATGTCACAAGCTATTTCATGTCCAACCTAAAAGTTCCAACATCGGGGTAGGCAAATCAATGCCAGAAAATGAACTGACAGGCAATGAGCCATTCCTGGATCCATCCTGAGGATCTCTTAAGCTCAAGGCGCAGACTTTTGGGGGCATTTTCCATAGGCTGACTTTATTATTTGACTTCCACACCCTTTCACCCAAATCTTATTTTCAGGACAAATGAGAATGGCTTTTGTGGAAGGCACTCAGGGAATGTAGTCAGGGCTGAGCTCTGTGCTGGTCCTGCAGACTGGAAGGCAGGGTTTCAGGCAGAGAAGCACACACACTCTAAGGTGGTCTGCTTTGCTAGCACGCCTGCAGTGACAAGCAGGGACTGCAGGTCAGTAATGAGTGACTGCCCCCTTCCACACGACCTGATTCAACCCCTGCAGAGCAGACTAACACAGGCATTAAGAATTACAATATTTCTGATACATCTCTCTAACACTCGGGACTCTTCACATACGAGTCCCAGTGAATGCTGGGGTGCCTCTGAACTTGGTTCCTGCAGGACTGAGCGTGACAGTCTCCCCTCCTGGGTGACCCACTCCATCAGCAGTACGGGAACAGAGTGGCCCCCAGATGACAAGTGCACTCTCTCAGCAGGAGGGACTGTCTTGATAGTACAGCCACTCAGGCTTGGAAAGCAGTGTCTCACAACAGTAAAGCAGCTTATATTTGCAAGTGGACTGCCATTGCCACTGGCAAGAAAGCATTTACAAACAAACCTTTTCCTTCCTAGTTTGTCAGAGTGCAGACCTTGATGATTTTTTTTTTTTTTTTTTGGTCACATAAGAGAACAAAAACAGGACAACAAGGACAACAACAAATCTGCACTGAGGTATCTGTGTCCTGACCGGATGGGCCTATCTCTGCTTAGCTGCCCAGACAGAAGCTGAAATACGTCTGCCATGCCAAGGGGAAGTATGCTTTGGGGCATCAAGTTTCTTGAAATGACTGCTTAGACAAGTCTAAATGAACAGATACTAAAGAATAAACTTTTTAAGCTCACTTCTGCTACTTAAGTAATTGTATTTGCATACATACTTAGATGCATATATGTCATGTATTCAATATCTGGTTTTAAGCATATTTGCTATCCATTGGATATACTATAGCTTGTGGTCAGTCTAAACCTGGTGAATATACACCGAAGATTTTTATGATGACTCTAATATCTGTGTCTCCCAAAATGACTTAAGTGTTTCCTATGCTTCTCTCAAACTTAATTCTATTTCTTGAATACCTTTGGCTAGAAGGTTGAAATAAACCATTCACGGAAGTTAAACATTGTGGTGGGTTCTTATTCATGCCAAACACTCACCACCAGCAGGTGCCGGTAACATTTGGAGCATATGCTCGATAAAGGATATGCTTCATTTCACTATTGGATGAAAAAATTATATTTGGAAATGCTCCTAAAATATTAAACATTATTCCAAACTGTTTTGCTATCAGAAATATTAATTTTATCACATTAACAATCAAACATCAAACAAACAAAAATCAAGTAGGTTGAAATACTCGTATAGCTAGGAGACCTGCACAGCTCACAAAACCAATCAAATCATTCCAGAAACACTTCCTTTCCACCCACATGCGGTGCAGCAGGAACGGGTTGGCTTCCCTCAGCTGAATGAAGCAGGACACCATTCATCTCCACTCCACTCCGTAGCTTCCTCTCTGTCCTCTGCTCAGTATCTCCCGCCACCCCATAGCCCACTACAGAACCAGACAAGGGACCCCAGGCTCCGTCATCTTCTGTCACTTTAGTGATCGTGTAGACGGAGCACACTCACCAACCCCTCACTGTTCTCTAAATACACAGAAAATTACTTTGAGCTCCTTGAAGAACAGGTGTTATAATGAGGCTAATTCTCCCCCTAGTGGTGATGAGGGAGCTTTCCTGAAATTGCATAAGCTTCCTCAGAGGCCTGGGCAGAGTAGGAGACGGAGATGGAAGGGATGCTAACCAAGAGAGTCCTCCTGCCCCTTTAGAAGGTATAGCAGACCCACAGCTCGGTGCCTTCCAGGGGATGGGCTATGTGCTGAGTGGGGCTGAGATGCTCCTGGCCCTCAGGAAAAATCAACGCTTTGAGAAAAACCTAATCTCATCCCAGGGATCCACTAGAAAAGGAACATAACAGAAATCCTTTTTTTTTTTTTCTAAACTCTAAGTGAGTTATATATAATCTTTATGAGCATTCTGCTACTCGGATTGTTGGGTGCTAAATCATTGAAATTAGCTTTTTCTTTAAAATGAACTGGCGATGATGTAATGCCATTGTCAGACAACTGGTCAACCTCAGATGTTTATTTTTAATGCCTTTCACTTTAACTAGAAGGACACAGTCTGAAACATTCTTTAGATCCTATAACTCAGAAAGGAGTGAAGTAACCCCCAGAGCATCACCAGATTCGGGTGTGAGTTGGTGTGCTGTCTGTATAATAAACTCATCCACAGGCGTCAGGATGAAGAGCCTTCCTCCACTTACCAGGCAGCTGCCAAGCCATCATCACAAAAAGATGGCTGCTTTTCCAGGGAACCCCAACACATGAAGGCATTCCAGAGTGCAAATGAGGACTCACTCAGATATAACGAGAACTCGTGGTCAATACACACACAGCGTTGGGGTTTGAAACAAGAATCAGATTACTGTGCACGTGTGGAACAGCCACTCAAGGATCAGAGATCCTTTCAAAGGCAAGACGTACGGCAAGAAAATGTGGTATATTTTTTCCTGTCTGATATGCAACGTTTATTTTAAAAAGGCTTGGGAACCTGCCTTGGATGAAGGAAAAGACGAGTACTCCCAGAAGATCTTACGTATAGCTGGGGATCCTTATATTCGTGATGCCTCAAGTCAGACACTGAGCTGTCCTCCCACCGAGCACAGGGAGGAATGAGGAGTAGGGACATTTGCCTTGGACCACAAGATGATCTAATCCTCAAGTGCAGGCCACTTGGAGTTGGTGGCAACAGGAAGTGATGCAGCTGTGACCCCAGGGCTGGTTGCCATGCTGACAGCTGTGGAGCGGCTCTCCAACCCGAAGCGGACACATCCAGGCAGAATTAACCAGGGAAGGCACATTTCTGTTTCTCTTTGCTTAGACAACAAGAAACTTGAGCTGAGCTGCCTCATCCAGAGGGCTGCCTGAGCCTTTCCAGTAAAGTTTGCCCCTCTTGCTCTCAATTCAGGAAAGAGCAGTGGCTTAGAAGGGAGACTCCGGGCTTCCTTGCACATAAGAAGCACCTCTCTCAAATGGAGGGTGAGAAGGGAGGCCCCCTCCACCAGTCGCAGAATTTATTCCTGTATCTTCCTGGCTGCTGGTACTTCACAAGTATGAATGAAGTCATCCTAAGGCCTGTGGGACTTCTGACCCAGGAGGATGCTCTAATTAATTCTCTACTGCCCAGATCCAGGAAATGGATTAGGCTTCAAACAGGGGCTGTTTGGGGGTGCACTGAGATTTCTATGCTGGGGGGGCAGGGGGAGAGAAGCGAAGTACCTCTGATTTTCAAAGTACAGGACAGTCTGCAAGTTCCAGCTGCAGCTTCAGGCTGGGAAACAGAACAAAAGAAGCCAAACCTGGACTCTCTCCTGTTGGCGGCACACAAGCCTGTCAGGTCCCATCGCCTTTCCCTCCTCACGCTCCCTCCCTCTCCTAAGGCTCCTATTAGTTCCTTGGGCATTCCAGCAGGGAGGCTAGGGCAATCAACACGAGGTGAGAAATCACCTTCCCGGGCGACGCCTCGTTACTCTGGCTTTAGGGGCGTGTATGTGCGTGCGGGAAAAGTGGCCGAGGTTCGTGAAGCGTGCGGTGTCCGTGTCTGCACAGACTGGGAAAGCAGGGTACTTGCTCCTGAAAGCAGGACACTCAGCCGCCTCCACCGCTTGGCTCCTTCCCCAGTCTGCTCTACACAAAATCTAGGAAGCCAGAGCTCCTGGCTCCTGAGCAACTGGAGAATGAAGAAAATGTTGGAGACCGGCAGACGGCGTGTTGTGTGCACACTCCTGGAACACGGAGGGTGGGGATCCGGGATAGAAAAGGAGCAGGCACGACCGCTACCCCTAAAACCCACTGGACCCTACTAGCGCCAGAAAAAGCTCTTCACGTCCCCCCCACTGGCGGCGGCAGCCGTGCAGCCAGGAGGCGGAGAACGACGTCGGAGGAAGATGGGACAGGTGAGGAGCCCGCAGACTCCCGTCCCGGCGGCGCCAGCAGTGCCGCAGCTCCGCGGACGGCCGCGCCAGGACTCCCCGCCGGCAGCTACGCCTTCCCCCGTCTCGCCGCTGGACTCGGGGCCTCCGCGGGGGCATGCGGGGCACCCGCGCCACTTACCGTGCGTGCAAGCCCGAGAACAGGCAGAGCAGGAGCAGCAGCTTGGGGGCCATGGTGTCTTGGAGCTCGGGACGACGCGGGGTGGGAGGCCTCGGGGCGCGGCTTTCTCCTCAGCGCGGGTCTCCGCTCCGCAGGTTCTCCCCGCCCTCACGGCCTCCGAAGCCGCAGGCTGCGGTGCGTCTCCGCCTCAGCACCGCCGCGGCGGGACAGGTGTCTGCTCCCGCGCCCGGCCGCGCCCCCGACGGCCAGCGGGTATGCGCGCGGGCTCCGCGGGGCGCACGCGGGACGCCGGCCCACCGCGGCGCGCCAACCCCGCCTGCGCACCGGCACTGGGTCCGCGCGCGGCCGGGTGGCGGGAGCAAGTAGGCACCCCCGAGACCCCGATCCCGCAGCCCCGCTGTTCCGCGAGGCGCCGCCCACCCGGCCAGGAAGCCGGAGCCACGCGCCGGTGCCACGGCGGTGGGATCTGCTCGCGGTGCGCGGCCGCCGCGGGCTCGGAGGTGGGAAGAGCGAGGCGGCCGTTCCGGTGGCAGCGCCTCCGAGGCGGTCCCGGCGGGGAGGAGTTTCCCCAATTATGCGCTCGACGAGGCTCAGAGCCGAGAACGCGAGGTTGGAATGGACTCGGAGTTTGAGGCCGGGCAGGGGGCGGGGTTCGGCCGGGAGGAGAGGTTGGGGATCCCACCTGCAGCCAGAGGGAAGGTCCTGAGGATCGAAGCCTGGACCTTTGGAGTTCCTCGTGACGTTTCAGCGCAGCAGTTTTTCTTCAGACCCTCTGATCTCCTAGTTGAAGACATCCAGGGCATTTGTATTGAGGGGCGCAACCGAGAAGGGCATGATTTGCTGGAAACCGACTCTGTTGTCAAGTTGACTGATCCATGCACAACTAAGCTACTGTGCCTGGAAGGGTGTCTGCTTAGGGAATATTCGGCCCAAAGCACTGGCGTGGTAGACTATTCTCAATGTAGAAGTGACAAGGTGACTTTCCAAAGACTGAAGATTGCATTTATAGGTTTCATTTGTAATAAATACTCAGAAAGCTAGTATCTCGTCAGGTAACCGAATCCACCACTGACTTCTCTTTTCACAAACAAAACCCACTCTAAGAAAGTATTAGCAACTGCTTCTCCTAAGGGAACGGAAGGCTGTAATAACTCTTCCATACTGTCAACTGCCTTTATTCCTCCGATGTCTCACTTCCTTCTGGGCTCTCCAGCGCGCAGCAGGAAAGTGCAGTGGATGCTGGCAATGATGATGTCCTCTCTTTCTTTGCGAATGCAGTTATCACCTCCTTGGCAAGACTACTTCCTATCTTTGTGAGATCTTTGTGGGTTTAATGAATGCCCCATCCCGGGGAGCTCCCAGAATCCCCCCTGCTCCTCCTCTGTATCCTTTACTCAGAGGCATGTGCTTGGCTCAAGTCTGTTAGCCAGGAAGATCCTGTCATTACGATGTTCTTCCACCCCCACACCGGTACCAGTTCCTTCAACTTCAGAGAAATAAGAGCGCTTATCCTATTCTGTCCCAGTCTCTAATTGTACACACCAAACAAGCACTTTAGAAATCAAATGATTCAGTGTTTTTCATGGCTTATGGGAGTATATTGTATCTATGCAACTTTTTTAAAAAGACTTATTTATTTTTATTGGAAAGCCAAGTTTACAGAGAGGAGAGACAGAAAGATCTTCCATCACTCCCCTGGTGGCCACAGCAGCCAGAGCTGAGCCAGTCTGAAGCCAGGAACCAGGAGCTTTATCCAGATCTCCCATGTGGGTGCAGGGTCCCAAGGCTTTGGGCCGTCCTCTGCTGCTTTTCTAAGCCACACGCAAGGAGCTGGATGGGAAGTGGAGCACAGACACAAACAGGACATGAACCAGTGTCCATATGGGATCCTGGTGCGTGCAAGGCGAGGGCTTTAGCCACTGAGCCACTGAACCATCCTGCTGGGTCCAGTCCGTGCAACCTTCAAGAGTACTGTGAGATAACTTTAGATAAAAAGGAAGGATTCTTGAATGCTCACATTTTTAACATGGTATGGAAACAGCAGTGGAAAAGTCCATCCAGAATTGACTGCCTACGAGGCGCCCCGGCCTCCGTAAACATCTAATGTAGAAAAACTCATTTTAACTCTCACCTGATTTCCATTTCGCAGATGAAGGGAGGCAAAAAACACAGAAGTGACATCATTATCCCAAGATCACATAGCTTGAGGACTTTGGCATGAAACCCAAGCAACCAGCTCCATCTTCTAAGTCTTAGTCTCGACACCATCCTGCCTCCAAGCAGGAGGTGTGAGGTTCTTTGAGCAAAGTTTTTAACTCTTTGCCATTATCTTCCTTCTCTGAGCATGAATACGAATGGTTACAGGTTGTTTACAATTGAAATGCACTACTTCTCCATGGCTGTATAAAATATCAGTGGAATGAAATGCTTCTTGTGACTCTGTTTAAGAAACTACATCACTGGGAATGAAAATGTGAAATTCTTAGGATGTGCCGTGCTGGTTGTCCTTCCGCTCTCTTTTGTCCATCGCTCTGCTTCTGGGCGTGCGTGAGTGCCGCGTGGCGGCTCCTGGCGATTGGATTCCCGTGCTCCCTGTGCTAGACTGACTGGGTCAAGTGGGTGTGTGTGACCATCCTACCTTTGAAATCCCCGTCCTCTGGCCCAGTCTACAACAACTTTTGTTTGTTTGTTTTTCCCCACGCCAAATACATTGAAAGAAGAATAATTTCAAACCAAGTTTTTGGGCATAAGAGCGAAAGCAACACACAAGGACAGTAATCTTCAAAGTGTAAGACATCAGTCCGATTTTCTTCCTGTGCCGAGGCTGATGGACTAGGGATACTGTGGAGCAGGTAAAAGTGCGTTCTCTGTCCTGCCCCAGCCTCTCCATCCTCAGCACCAGGGGAGCTGCCAGTTCTACTGTGTAGGGCTTATTTTCCTCTCCCCAGGCTTGCAGGAAAGTGGGGAACCCGTGTAAAAGAGATCTGCCATAAGCCCGTGCGTAATTAATCATAACGGTAGGACGGAGGAGCCAGCCACAGGCCAACATGTTCAGTTCTGCGACTATGCAAGGTCCTCTAGTCACAGGAGCTTTTTGCTTTTCTTTTTCTTTTCTGAGTTTCCTGTCAGGTATTCCCCTGGGGTTGCCGGGGAGACCCAGGCAGGCCCACAGGGCAGTGTGGGTTGAACCATCTCTGCCTGAGGCAGGAAGCAACCTAGAGGCAGCAGCGAGACTGTCAGCCCTGGCTACAGAATCCTCCTGTGGTTTCTCTGACAGGGATGCCGTCCACAGCCTCACGTCACCTCCTACAGGCGCTCGGGAACAAAGCCATCTCCGCGGCTGAACACCCGGTCACTGCACAGCTTTCTCTGCGTCGTGCAGTTCTTTATTTTGTGTAAAATCTCCCTTAGTCCTGAAATCAGAGTTCTTACGTTGTTTTATGATGCTGCGTATTCTGCCATCCACATGGGAAGTCTAGATTACTAACACATCTGGTCCTGGCTTTTAAACTCGCGGGCCCCAGCTGCTGCAGGTTTTGGGGGTGAAGCAGCCAGGGGATCTCTGTTGGTCGGTCTGTCTCTGTATTTCCATGCCTTTCAAAAAAATATGTAAAGACTTTTCGAAAAAACAGATGAGATTCCACTTCTTGCTAATTTGACGATCTTATTTATAAGAATGCATATTTTCATAGAGGGAGGTAGTTGATCTAGAATAATGTATTTGAAACACTGCCTTGTTACCACTGAATTTGTGGGAATCAGGTAATTTACATATGCAAATGAATAATTTTCTTAGCCTTGGTCTCTTTATTTCTATTCTTATATCAACATAATACACTTTAAAATTATTGTGATTTTAGTAATATTTTAGTATTCTAAATCCACTTTTGCTGTTTTAAATTGTTTGCATTTCCACAAAAGCCAGTTTGTTAATTTTTCTTCCAATTTCCGAAATATTCTTTTTAAAGAGTCACTAGTTTACAAATAAATTCACAAGAATTAACAGAAAATACTTCCATATGATATTAGATAGTCCATAGACTAGGTCCAATTTTTCTGAATGTTCCAAAAACATATGCAATAGAATTTTTCAGGCATAGTCCAGGATCCATTCAGGAATCTGCATTTCATTAGTTATTGCATCCCTTTAGTCCATTTTTCATCTGGAATAGTTCCTTGGCTTTATTGGTCCTTTAAAACATCAGTCATTTCAGCAGGCACTTTTTTGTTTGTTTGTTTTGTTTTAATTGTAGAATGCACTTCAGTCCACTGCTTCTCTGGGATGAGATTAAAGTTATGTATTTTTTGGCAGAAATAGGACATAAACGATGCTACTTTTCTCAATGTGTCACTTGAGGACGTGCACAATGTTCATTTGTCCTGAACTGGATAACACAAATCGTTTGGTTGAATTGCTATATGCTGTGTCCATTATAAACGTACTTTATTTTTCTTTTAAGATTATTCATGATTTTCTAGGAGAGTTAGTTGATAGTATTTAATTATTCCACTTTTAACATGCGCTGGTATTTCTTGCCTGCCGGTTCTAAAATGCTAATGTTCTACCTTTATTTGTTGGTATCCTATCATAAGAAAATGCATTTAATTTTCAATACTTTTAAAACAAACATACAGCTTTGTTGCAGCTTACAGACGGATAAACTTGTGTATGTTCAAGGTATATACTGTGATGATTTGACATATGCATTGTGAAGTAGTGAGCAGACTCAACTCATCGAGACAGTCCTTCACCTTCCATAGCTATCTTTAGTTCACTTCCTCATTTCCTTGAGCAACATGATGTTCTTGGTCTCAGCTCCTGAGTTTGAATTTATTGCCTGCCACTTTTTCATGGAGGAGGAAATCTAGAAATGACTTCTAACTGTCCTGATGCACTGTTGCTTTGAGAGTTTCTGGAATTCATAGCTTGACAATAAATATGTCATTTTCAAAGGACCTTCAAACGTCCATGTAAAAGGAGAATTAAAAGATAAGTATGTTTTTGGTGCAAAAAAGTTCCTCAAACATGCATGATAGATATTTACATAATTTCCCATGAACTT